ACTTTTAAAAATTTTTCTTTTCCCAAATAAGCAACTAGAGGACATCTAAAAATTGGGCCAAAAACCCACTTTTTCCCACTGTTTTTTTTAAAATTAAAAATTTGTTTTCAAAGTGCTCAACTTCAAAAAAATGGATTAAAGATAGAGTAAAATTTGCTATTCCCCTTTTGGGTTAAACCCTTCCCTAATGACCCAATCGGGGTATTTATAGCCCCACGAAAGTAAAAAATTTTTTTGGGCGATGGGGGGGAATTTTCCGCCCCCCTTAAAACCCCTAAAAACAAAAGGGGGAACACACCCCCTTCGGGAAAACCCCCTGATGTATCTTTTGGTTGGGGGGCCGCGCCGAAAAAGAGGTCACTTTTTTAAACAACATTTCTCAAACAAAAACAAGTATTGGAGCCTAAATAAGGCATTTTTTCATCATTTGAGACAACAAAAGGGCGTTAAAAGGCGTGTGTATAACATAATGAGTTAACAAATTTTGTTTTCACTATCAAACAGGTATCGAGCCATTTACATACATGTGCTCCTGGGTGTCTTAATTTAGATGCAAGTAAATTTACACTGTTTGTTTGTTTTGGGTTTTACCTCACATCGACACAGTATATAGTCATATTGCGACGTTCCAGCTTTACTGGTGATGGAAGACCTTAGGTGCCCTTCCGTGCATTATTTCAGGGACCTGAGTAGAACCACAGACGTTCCATATGCTAGCTGGAATAGCTTCCTCACATTAAAGAATCCAAAGTCCCTGTCGGGATTCGAACCCACAGCGGTGAGGGGCAAGTGATTTGAAGTCAACAACCTTAACCACTCAGCCACAGATGCCCTACACTGTTTGTGTAAAGTTGCATGTAATTACTGTCAAATATGATAAGAGCAATTCCGGGTACAAGCTTTTTAAACTTGCTTATAAAATAATGCCAAGTGTCGTAAAATTATGCTAAAAATTGCAAAAATGGCATCAAGTCAACCTTAATGTTTGAGATATGAAAATGTGTAGGTAATGTGTTAAAAATCTTACAGTGCAGGAAATGGCATGAAGTTAAAGTTAAAAAAATAATTAAAAAAAAAATTTGTTTTTACTTTTATATTATTATAATATAAATATAACAGTAAAAAAAAAATGGTTTTTTTTTGAATTTTTTTTTTTAATATATTGATATTTCATTGTATAAATAACAAGGTCAAACACATTTTAGGTCAAATCAATGCCACTTTATAGCACCTGTGGACAAGAAGGGGAAAAAAGCCAATCTATTTACTCTTTATCCTTTATTAAAATTATGCACATTGACTCAAATGGAAGTAAACTATATAAAATAGGCAAGAAAATAGGTTTTGTTTACTTTTATTGTGAATTATCTGCCTCTGATTTAATCATTCAACAAAGAGAACGGTGACCCCCCCCCCTTTTTTTTTGCTTAAAATGTTACCATTATCATATTTTGACAACATGCCAAATTTTAATACTCAAAGTCTATTGAACAGTTTTTATTTTGCCGATACGTCTATATGAAAACTTCCAAAAAGGTCTTTAAACATCTTATTCCATTACAAAGTACAAAGTGCCATTTACACTGTATATGAAACATCTTTTTAAAGTTCATCAAACTGTACCTTATCTTTACTCCTGACTGTACGTACATTTTTTGCCGGCACACAAGTTAACATTTTTGCGGGACAATTTTTAAAGTTTAAAGCACATTTTTATATAACAGAAAAAAATTTTGGGTTTAAAATTTTAAAAAAAAGATTTCCCAAAAATGCTTTTTAATAAAAAAAATAGGGTTTTAATTTTTATTCCCTTTTAAAAGAAAATGCTGCAGAAATCATTGCAAAACGGATAAAGCCCTTTTTAAAAATGGCAAAAATAATTTTCAATTTGTACCTTTTTTTTTTTTTAACATTTTTTCTTTTTGGTATAAATTTATTTTAGTTTGATTGAGTAGGAAGCTATAAGCTTATAGTCATAGACACATATTCGAATTCATTCCTGGAACAAACCAGTAATGAGCAATGTATGTGTGCAAGTTTCTTGCTCAAGGAAACAATGACTTGCCCCTGACAGAGTTTGAACTCATGCGACTAAGCAATCATAAGATTACGTAGTTCGACGCATTAACCACTCCGCATGCCGCCATTATTCTGTTTATGTTCATTATTCATGTGTATTAAATAACTGAGACATTCTATGTTACACTTTTTTCAGGAATCAACCATACAATAATGGATTTAGTTTTGTTGTTTGTTTCATTTTACGCTTTTCCCCAAACAGTATTTCAGTCATATAGGCGGATAGTGTCCCTAACCACCGTTCCTGGAGAGTGACACCAGTACTAGACTACCTTCCTCCGCGCTAAACTACCAAAGCATCTCTAGGGGATAGAACCCATGCCAGAGAGGTATCTGGATTAGAAGTCATCGACTCTAACCCCTCGTCCACGGAGGCACCAAAATAGTTTGACTTTTGTTAAATTTATAAGAAAATTTCATAAGATTATAATACCCTTTATGAATCACACAGAATAATTCAAAGTCCACAGAAGCAAGAGATATCTTGCAGAACTTTTAACAACCAAGTCACCAGAATGCATCAAATTATGTAGAAATATTACACATAATAATTTACAGGGTTTGCAAAATTATTGTTACAAAATAATAATTCTGGTTTATTTTATATACAGAATTTATTTTAGTTTGATTGAGTACGAAGCTTAATTTAAAGGTTACAGACACACTTTCAAATCCATTCCAGAAATCAACTAGTACTGAGCAATGAGTGTAAAGTTTCTTGTTCAAGGAAACAACAACTAATACCCCTGAAGGGGTTTGAACCCATGCGGCTAGCTTACTAGTCCGACATGTTAACCACTTGGCCTTGCTGCCACTGTCTGCAAAGGCAGGTTACATTTGAAGTCACACAAAATCACACTATTAACTTCTTGACACATTAAAATTTCAAATTCAAATGTAAATTTTATTAAAGGGACTCCACTGAGGTTTAAAAGCCTAAAAACATAAAATTTGAATTTCTTACATAAATGAGCTGGGGCAATTTAAACAGAAATATATGCAAAGATAGTTAAGAAATGTACTTAGAAATAAATTGAAAATCGTATTTTTATGTTTTTCTTAGCCCGATTTGAGTGAAAAGCATTTAAACGTTTTTCATTTTGGGTCATTTTTTTACAATTTGAATAATTATTCTGGAAAAACGAAGAGAGTGAACAATCTGAAATTTTGCACAAAGATTAGTGGTCTAAACTTACATCAAATGGTATATTTGTCTGGAAAAAATCTTTTCAGTCCCATCATGTCAAAAAACCTCAGTGGAGAGAATAACAATCAGTAAACTCTAAATCTTCACTTACTAGTTTATCAACTGGATAAAGTCTCTGAATTTCTGTTTTGCTTCATGTGCAACTTTCAACATATTCTTGGCTCTCTCTAATAATTGTCTTCCGTAGCCACTTTGTAACCCACCTGAAAATAAAAATACAGTCAACTATCGTTATCTCGACATCACTTTTCTCGATATTTCGTTATCTCGATGAAATTTTGAAAGTCCCGATTTTCTTCCTTCTTCATCTATATTGGATATATTTGTTCATCTCGATATTTTTATTTCGATATTTTCACTATCTCGATGTAAAATTTCAGCCCCTACAGTTATTTTCACACTATTATCCTTTGTTTATCTCGACAAATAGTTTTCGTCTTGTAGAAAACACAAACTAGGCGATAATTGCTCAATAGCGCTTGTCATTATGATGATTCTGTTTGTAACACGTTGAGCTGTTATTATAAAAGTTAATCTAATTAGCGTAATGATTGACTTATGTCCAAAATGACCGAATTTTACGTTCTTTATAAATATTAGAACACACAATTCATAATGACTTTTATCTGTAAATGAAATAGTGAAAGTATAGAAACGTTATCGTTACAATATTGTTTCACAACATCAAAAAATCAAACAGCGGTCGAACAATCCCGATAACTAACCCGGGAGAATACGATCAACCACTCTAAAACAATGTTTTCACTATTTTGGTGTATTTCATTACTGAGTAAACCTCACTATATGTTTTATCACAAACACCCGTATTTCCGCTGGTAAACATCCGTTAATGTTACTTTGTTAAATATTGACTTTGCGATACTATGCTTATAAAAAGAACTAGAACTCCGCGAGTCGGATGTGTCGCCTTGTGAACAATGTAGTTTAGGGGAAATGGCCAGGACAAAAATGAAATATGAAAAATAACAAAGGGCAATAACTCAAAAAATAATAAGTGCAGAGCAGCAGTTTCTGTACACTGCACTTCTTATCAATAAGATCTATCATTCTATGATGTTTCAAGTCCATAGCTTTCATACTTGAGGAGAAATGACCAGGACAAAAATAAAGTAAGAAAATCAACAAAGGGCAATAACTCAAAAATAAGAAATGCAGAGTATCAGTTCTTATGCACTGCACTTCTTTTTAATGAGATCTATCATCCTATGAAGTTTTAAGTCCATAACTTTTATACTTTCGGAGAAATGGCCTGGACAAAAATTAAGTATGAAAATTAACAAAGGGCCATAACTCAAAAATTAAGAAATGCAGAGTACCGATTCTTGTGCACTGCACTTCTTAATAATGAGATCTATCATCCTATGAAGTTTCAAGTCCATAGCTTTTATACTTAAGGAGAAATGGCCTGGACAAAATTAAAGTATGAAAATAAACAAAGGGCAATAACTCAAAAAATAAGAAATGCAGAGTACCAGTTCTTGTGCACTGCACTTCTTCTTAATGAGACCTATCATCCTATGAAGTTTCAAGTCCATGGCTTTTATACATTAGGAGAAATGGCCCGGACAAAAATAAAGTATGAAAATTAACAAAGGGCAATAACTCAAAAATTAGGAAGTGCAGAGTACCGGTTCTTGTGCACTGCACTTCTTAATAATGAGATCTATCATCCTATGAAGTTTCAAGTCCATAGCTTTTTTAGTTGACGAGAAATGGCTCGGACAAAATTAAAGTATGAAAATTAACAAAGGGCAATAACTCAAAAAATAAGAACTGCAGAGTACCGGTTCTTGTGCACTGCACTTCGGGTTATTGAAAGAAGCATGCATACCAAGTTTGAAGTCAATCAGACTTATAGTGACTGAGTTATGCTCCGGACAAGCTTTAGGGGACGCCGACAACGACACAGACGCCGCCGCCGACACCGCCGACAAAAGTAACCCCTATATGTCACCTTTTCAAGGCGACACAAAAACATGGAGATATCATAGTTTATTTTACATAAGGTATGCACATGTCTTTTGTAAAAATAAGTTTCTGCCTTGTTCAAACCCTAATATGTTTATCTCGACAATTCGTTATCTCGATATTTTTTGGACGGTCCCGATGACTTCGAGATAACGAGAGTCGACTGTACAAACATTTTGCTATTAATGTTGTACAGGTATAATCTGAATGTGTTTGACAATTTTGAAATTCATCATTACAGGTATACCTAAATTTGACAATAAAGTTGTTAAAATGAACACACAAGAAAGTAAATTAACAGTTTAAATTAACATTCCTGTTTCCCTATGAATAAATAGGCTACTTACATGTAAAGCATTAATTTTGCTAAGAACTAAATTCAAAATGTTGTTGGTCAATTGTACTTAATACAACATATACATGAAAATAACTGGGCATTAACTTTGCAGACTGGCCTGGCTCTAAAGTTTTGGTTGATTAGATCTTAATTTTCATCTTGATATCCCTAAATATTTGTCATGGATCAGAACTGTTCACTTATTAGGGGAGATAGTGTGTAAGCAGCCAAACTGCTCAGTCAGTAGAGCCGAGGTACGTTTTTCCAAGGGTCCTCTTTCTCACCCTGTGACATATTGATAATGGATAGTTCTTAATAGATAATTTAAGAAATTCAGCAGATAAAGGGTGAAATAGACGTTTGATAGAATTGCTATGCAGTAGTTCAGTGAAAACACTGTCTAACTAAAAGTCAAGGGGTCCAGAACGTTGAATAAGCCGGGCATAACTTGGCCAATATCTATGACAGATTTATGTTATCTTGCCAAAATGGGCATGTTTGTTTGTTTCATTTTACACCTTTTCCCAAACAGTATTTCAGTCATATAGGCGGGTAGTTTCCTAACCATCGTTCCTGGAGAGTTACACCAGTACTAGACTACCTACCTCCGTGCTAAACTATCAAAGCAAAATGGGCATGTTGGTCACTAACAAGTATTCAAAGTCTCAAAGTAAAATACCTCAAAGGATATAGCAAATAAGTGAGGTGGTACAAAATGTGTAATCCAGACCCAACGCCAGGGTTCCACCCTCTCCATTTTACAAAGACCTTCTACTATTGATCTGTTACATTTATTGTCAATATAATTCTCGATACAAACGTTTTTTTAAACAATTTTGAAAATAGTTAAATATCTTTAAATCATTAAAACTTTTCTCCGCAGGAAACCATTTTAACTTGTTGTATATGGAACATTTTTATCAAGCTTTGCACTATTTTCACCAAACTGTACCTTACCTATACTCCTGACTGTACCTACATTTTTGAAGAAACACAAGTTTTAAGAAACACACAAATTAATTCAAAGTCCCTAGAAGCATTCAACAGCAAGAGATATTTTGCAGAAACTTTAACAACCGAGTCACCCAATGCATCAAATTATGTAGAAAAATTTACACATGTACAATTACAGGGTTTGCAAAATTATTGTAACAACTAAATCTTAATTCTGGTTTATTTTATATACAGAATTTATTTTAGTTTGATTGTGTAGGAAGCTATAAGCTTATAGACAAACTTTCGAATCCATTCCTAGAATCAACCAGTACTGAGCAATGAGTGTAAAATTTTTTGTTCAAGGAAACGACTTGCCCCTGAAGGGGGTTGAACCCATGCAGCTAGTGATCATTAGATTACTAGTCTGACCCGTTAACCACACAGCCATGCCGCCACTATCTGCAAAGGCAGGTTACATTTGAAGTTTTTAGCTTCTTAACATGTTAAAATTTCAAATTCAAACGTAAACTAAAAATGTGTCCATAGGACACAGGTGCCCCCACACTCCACTGATTTGTCAATCTTATGACTTTAGGTCAAATATTTTTCAGGCTACATGTGCCGCAAGTTAAAAACTAATAATCTTTTACTCAGTGAAGGGCAACAACTTTACAAATACTGAATAAATTCACAAGTGAATCCCAAGGTGCATAAGTACACATGCTGACCAACATTTTTGTAAACTTTCAGGCCTACAAGTCAAACACTTTTTGAGCTATGCATGAACAAGTTGAAAATTGCAAATTTATAATAAGTCAAGGGCAGTAACTCTAACAAAACTGAAAAAATCAACATGCAAATCCCAGGTGCATAGCTTCACAGTGATGTTGATCATTATTCCTTTAAAGTTGGTTGATTCTAACTCAAGCACTGGAGGAACAAATAACACAACATAATGAAATAGTTTTTACTAAGTAAAGGGCAATAACTCTACAAATACTGGATAAATCCACAAGCGAACCCCAAGGTGCATAAGTACATATGCTGACCTACATTCTTGTAAACTTTCAGGCCTGCAGGTCAAATACTTTTTCAGCTATGCATGGACAAGCTGAAAATTGTAATTTTTACTAAGTCAAGGGCAATAACTTTAAAAAATGCTAAATATATCCTCTCGTAAATACCCAGGTGCACAACTTCACATGCTGAGCAATATTCCTGTAAGGTTTCATGACTCAAGTTCAAGTTCTTTTTGAGGTATGTGTGACACAAGTTGAAAATTGCAAATTTTTTACTAAGTCAAGGGCAATTACTCTAACAAAACAGAATAAATCCATAAGCAAATTTCAGGTGCACAACTTTGCGTGGACAACTTCACATGCTGAGCAATATCCCTGTAAGGTTTCAAGACTCTATGTCAAATACTTTTTGAGCTATGTGCGACACAAAATTAGAACGGATGAAGAAGGTGGATGGACGAATGGACGGACAGGGGTAAATCTAAATGCTCCCCTCCCCCTAAAATGGGCGCAAAAAAAAGTTCGTAAAATTTTAAAAGAGAATCACAAGCAGTAAACTCTTAAACTCACTTACCAGTTCATCAACTGGATAAAGTCTCTGAATTAAACATCAAGTATGTCTGTTTTGCCTCATGTCCAACTTGCAAGATATTCTTGGTTATTATACCATTGGCTCTCTCAAATAATTGTCTACTGTAGCCACTTTGTAACCCACCTAAAAATTAAAAAAACAAATTTGCTATTTATGTTTACAGTACATGTATAATGTGAATGTGTTTACAAATTTAATTGCAAGTTGACAACTTTGAAATTCATCATTACAGGAATACCTAAAATTGACAATACAGTTGTTAAATTAAACATGCAAGAAAAGTAAATTAAACAGTTTAAATTAACATTATTATGTTTCCCTATGAATAAATAGGCTACTTACATATAAATGCATTTGCTAAGAACTAAATTCAAAATGTTGTTGGTCAATTCTATTTACTATAAAATGGACATGAAAACAACTGGCATTAACTGTTATCTTGTGAGTGTGTGAAAAAAAATATCATGTGACCCTGTTTTTGTCACATTGTTACAGTTGGATAAATTATTGTACAGTAATGTTAGGGACTTTACTTTGTGCTGTGATCCTTACCCTCAATTATCAATCAATTAAAACTGACCACCTTTACCAGTCACCAATAGACAAGTACAATTGGATTAAGAGATTAATATGGCTGTTGCAAATACACTATTATCGAGGGCTTAAACCTTTAACTTGCTGGGAAAAAAAACAAAAAAAACTCATAAGGCATTGCCATCAGTATAGAGCTAGGCCAGTCTCAAACATTTGTGCAGACTGGCCTGGCTCTATATTTTTGTTTGATTAAATTTTAATATTTATCTTGATATCCCCAAATATTTGTCACGGTTCAGGACTGTTCACAAATTAGGGGAGATAATGTGTAAGCAGCGGGGTTGAGCCGCAAAAAGGTATTCCGAGAGTCCCATGCTGCACATTTTCCTCACTCTGTGACATTTGGCCCCTAACAGGGGTCTGTGACTACATAATTTAAGCTCAAGAGTTTAATTTACATTGCTATGTATGTTTGTAAAATTCAAAGACAAATTTCAATATAGAGGGGATTGAGTATGTCATGGTTCAAAAACTGTCCACAATTTTAGGGAGATAGCTCAGTCGGTAAATTGCAGAACGGTATTCCCAGGGTCCAGGGTTCGAGTACCTGTCAGGCTGCACATTTTTCTCACCCTGTGACATATTGATGAAAAGAAATCAGGAATAGACAATTTAAGAAATTCAGCAGCTGAAGGTGAAATAAATCTATGCTTAAATGGATGCAGTTTAGTTCAGTGGTAGCACTGTATAACTAAACATCCAGGGGTTGCAAGTTTGATCCCTGCTATCCAAACTCTTCTTTCAGACACGAATTCAAAATTGAGGCACTTAACTCTTAAATTTTTCATCTAGACAGTTCCAAAATTTGAAGGCGGCCAAGTCCATTTCGAGAATTCAGTAAAGGTAAATATGTTTTTTTTTAGAATAACAAGCAATATATAAGAAATACATAACATCACATTAAACCTGACATTCAAAACAAGAGCACAGCAAATTAAGCCAGGGCAATACACACAAGAATGCAACCTTGTAAGTAACAATGATCAAAAAATCTTTAAAGAAGGAAACAGACTTTGCATTCATGAATTTTTTCAAAACATGTTCTATATTAAATGTCCTCACTATAACAAGAAATTGTAACAAAACAGTTTATTTTCAAATTGTAAAGCTCCATACTGTACCTCTTGTTTCTTTTATTATATGATAGTTAAAATTTCCTGGGGGGTTTTTCCCGGGGAATTTTGAAAATTTTGGGAGCCAAAAAATTTTTTTTAAAAAAGGAGGCCCAAGGGGGGGCCCTAGGATGGGCCTCCCTAAACCCATAAACTCATCCGAACAATTATTTTAGACAAGCTTCTGACCCCCGCCCCTTAAGTTTTGCCACTAACTTGCCCAGCTTTTTTCCATTTGAAAAGGGGGGCCATTAATTTGAAAAAAAGGGGGGGGGGTTTTTTTAAAAACCGGGGAAATTTGAAAAAATTCCACCCTTTTTCCCTTTGTAGGGGGAAAAATTCCCAAACCAAATTCCACTACCATCCTTTGGTGGCATTTAGGGGGGGCTTTTGGTGGAAATTTTGAACATAGATTTTTTTTTATGAGGGAAAAAGGGGGGGAAATTGGGGGGGGAAAAAGGGGAATTTTTTTTATTTTTTATTTTAAAAGGGGGGAAAATAAAGTGGACCTTTTTAGTGGGAAAAGTGAAACTCTAACTATTTTCTGGGTGGCAAAAATAGTGGAAAAAAAACTTAGAAAATTTTGTGAATAACTTTTAGTCGAAAAGGGAAACTCTTAACTATTTTCTGGGTTGTATAAAAATTGGTGGAAAAAACTGAGAAATCTAATAATTGTGCATTGCAGGGTTTAAGATTTATTTAAGTCAAAGCTCCAAACTGAAATAAATCTGTTTATAATTTGTACTCTACCAAAGCATCAAGTGAACTTTTTATCAAAAATATAATTTATTGAAGTTGAACAGTTAGAAAAATTTTATCAGAAACTCATATTTCTTAAACATACTAGAATGCCATGAACACAATTCTGATACAAAGTCACTGCCTCACAGTACTGTAACGGTATGATAATTCCAGCTGTAAAGTAAAAGGAAAAAAACCCCGGGAAATTTGGGGAAAGGGGGCCGGTTTAAAAATCCCCCTTTTCCCAGGCTTTAAAACAATTATTATGATCAGGAAAAATTGGGGAAAAGGTTAGGGGTTACTTAATTTCCCCTTTTTTTGGGGGTTTTACTTTTTTAAAGGGGAAAGGGTTAAAATTTAAACCTTTCCCAAGCCCAAAATTTTTAATGTTTCCATTTTGTTGTAGAAAAAATTACAGCTTTTTTAAAGTGTAACTTTGTTCTTTATTTAAAATCTGTACTTTTAAATTAAATATTTTTAAAAATGTTCTTTTATGCCCAGAAAAGGGCATTATCCTTTCCCAAAAATTTTTGTTGTTCTTCAAAGGGGATATTTAATGTCAATTTTGGGGAATAAAGTTTGCCCTTTTGTCTTTTTTCCCAAATTGGGACTTTAAAAAAATTTGGGTCTTTTTCAATTTTTATTTTTTAAATTTGATACGGGTTAAAGGTACTAACAACTTTTCATTGTAATGCTTACCAATAATTAAAGTGAAAAATGCAAAAGGGCAATAACTCCAAAAAGTATGCAAAGACTGTTATGGGTTCTTAAAACAAAAGCACATTACTCAAAAAAAAGATCTATATCTGTGAAGTTTCAAATTAATTATCTCCCAGTACTTTTTTAAGCTTATGATCAAGAAAAAAATTAAGCATAGAGAAGTAAAAAATGGCAATAAACCCCAAATCATGCAAATAACAAGAAAAATATTACATAACATTCGTATGTAATATAGGTACGATTGCATACTACTTTTTTGTAAAGACTTTATGTTTGCTGAAATTAAAGGTGTAATGTAAAAATGAACAAAACATGTCATGAGATATTTTATATCTTTAAACATTTTCATGGAATGTAATTAATGTATCATCATATTAAAGTTGCATTTGCCTTCCGATGAGAAAATGATTTTTCAAGGAAATCAAAATATGAAAAAGAAAATTCACGGTCAATTGACTGCTTTGAAGCATAATCACAAATTTGAGTCACAGATTTGGAGATATGATTATTTATTCATATTAAACATCATTATTGGTTATATATTTTGATAAAAAACCCGAAAGGACCACAGTTTGGTAAATATTTATTACAATAAAATTATGAAAAAGGTTATTTCTAATCCTATGCGACGCGCCGAGGTTTTAGCTATAATTAAAATTCCCCGCGCAAAGTCGCGGTTGGTGCTTGGGGATAATCACTTGATACTGTAAATGGCAGCCATTTTGCCTGGCCCTTTCCTCGGACAGTTTTATCCTGCCGAAAAGATATGAAAAAATATTTGGGCAATTAAAAATTTTGGGTTTATTACAAAAAGGGTTTTATCGTTTTTTACTCTTTCACACTTTTTTTTTCGGGTTTGTTTTGGTAATAATAGGGGGAATGGGGGTTTTCATTGGGCTTAAACCATCCCCCTTTTCCCAAATACACAGGGTAGGGGGTTGAACTAATTTGGGTGTTCTTTAAAAATTTTTCCCGGGTTAATAGAAAATATAAAAATTTCTTTTTTAAAAATAAAATTTTGGGTTTAAAAAAAACCCAATCACAAAAGGGGCTTTTTAAAAATAATAACAATAAATTGGAAAAAAATTAAATGCTTTAAAAATTTGGGGTAAATTTGGGTAGGGAAAACCCTAAACCCCCTAAAAAAAAACATAAAAAGGACTAAACCCAAAAAACAAGCCCCCGGGCTTTTTTCACCTAAACTATGTAGTTGCAGGGACCATGTTTAGCAATGTAGGCAAACCAAATCTAAAAAGAAAAACCTTTGTAAAAATAATACTATGACCACAGCAGATTTCGTACAGAAAAGTTATGGTTTCCTTGGCATTGTAACTTCTCATAAATGAGGTTTAGTTATATGTGGAGTTTAAAATTATTGTCTCTAACATCTTTTGTGCTATGCTTTCAGAGGCTTTAAATCTATTGTAAAAATTAATGTGTGAAAAGTAAATAAGTCATAATGTCTGATAAATTTTCTTACAATCAGGATAAGTAAATACTAGCTAGTAAATACTGCATCCTCTAAGATTTAACAACACAGCATACATCTCAGATCTGATAAAACTACTGCCCTCTTATCTAGTAATCTCTGAATGAGGGTTAATAGTTTACTCATGCTGACCAGAATGTTCCATTTGATTATTTTGGGAGAGGCAAACATTATACATGTTTTTTGTAGGAATTTGTTTCCTTATAAATAGCATTGCCTAAAAATTATTCTTTTCAAAAAAAGTTATTTCTACCTCAATCTATTCTATGTATTCAGAATATATTTTATACATTTCAAATGAAATTAAAAAATAAAAGGATGGGTGCTATGGTTTTTTTTGGAAAACTCCCTCACAATTTTTAAAATTATAATGGACTGTCCATGCGGTTACACGTTGTAAAGTTTGGGAATTCAAAGGAAAAATTAGGTCAGGTTAAAAGCTTCTGCAAAACAAAGGAAAATAATTG